GGGTGGGGGAGGTGGGGCACTGCTGTTCAAATTTTGTTGGTTAAACTGGCTGTACGAAGCTGAAGATTGTCCTGAAGTTGTCTGAGGAAACAGGGGCCCGCCAGCCTGCTGCTGATTACTAGGCTGAAGGGCCGGCGCTGCCGGATAGAAGTTGCGGTGGGTGTCCCTCTGGGGCGTTCCAACTTGAGGTGACTGGGGGTGATGAGGTCTGTACGGAGATCCCAACGGCTGCGAGTGAGGCTTTGGTGAAAGGTAACCATGCTGCACCGGCGCGTGAGGGGTCGAGGGCTTGGGAGGGTTCTCCACGTGAGGCGAAGGGGGGCAATGCAGCTTCAAAGGTGCGGAAGGCAACTTCTGTGAATGGGAAAGTTGCTCAGCAGAACCGCGCAGGTGCGGTTGAGAGGGGTGAGTTTTTGAAAGTGCTTGGACACTGTTCGTCAGCTGTTTTTGTGGCAGCTCGGGTTTGGGATGATTCGCACCCTCGGCCTCGGGTGCGTTAGCTGCAGTTTCCCAGTGCGAATCTGGCTTCGTGGGTGTTTTCCCAAGCGACTGCGCTGAAACTACAGGGCTCGGTGAAGAGGGCTAGAACGAAAAGGCAGGCAGTCAGGACAAAACATCCGCAATGTTCAACTATGCATACGTTAGGACCGAAAGAACTTCTCAGAATATTGTTCTGTGCCATGATGGTGAAAAGAAGCGTTGAGGCACAGGATATACACGTTTGGTATACAAAAACCAGCGACAACAGAAAGCTTAAAAACTTAGGAAGACACTGTTTTTGGCAAGTACGTGTCAATCGTTCTTCAAAGTCCAAGACCAGCAACTGCATTTTAAAGTACTAACAGAAACATGACTCATCAGGTCAAAGAAAGAATCTGCTCTTCGTTAACGTTTTACATTTCTGAGTCTGAAGGAAAATTCCAGACAAGACCATTTACAAAAATAAAGCCACTTTTAGAGGGATGTAACAGTGTAAACCTGGCAGAGCGCAAGCAGACAGGCTAACCATCACAGCCTGAATTACTTGGGTCAATACCGTACAGGCACCTACTCGACACCCTTCTCTGTACCAGCGCCTCTACTGACAAAACAGTGCCAGGCCCTGATGTGGGAGAGCGAACTCCGTGACAGTACGAAGGACACAAGTCCCGTTGCTGCTGTCAGCTCTCCCGGCCCTCCTTCGGCATCCACCCTGCGGAACCACAGCGACACCGAATCCACCGACACCATCTCCGCAAGATCATACGCAGACAGACACGGCTGCCCCAGAGCGGAATGCAAACCAGCGTTTTAGCATGTCCGGGCTGCCACAAACACTCCTGCCAGCGCTGACCCGTGCTGAGTTAGTGCACGAACAGGCTACGTAAGCACACGTGCACCTAAGCAGTAAATCACGAGATTAACGTCTTTAAGGCAGATCAGACGGAGGTATTCACAGGCACCTGCGCACGCTGTACATTACCTTGCTCGCTTTCGACGGACTCTTACAAGTCCTTTGGGAAGTATCTGGGGACGGACACTCAGAAGGCGGCTCTGGGTTTTCAGGATCAGGTTCTGCAGACACAAAGCAGAGGGAACTGTAAAAATGGGAAAAATCAAGCCTTTTGCAAAGATCGCCAAGCACTTCACACTTGACTTTAGAAGAGCTACTGAAGTTGTTGTAGGAGACTATTCAACAGCCAAGTGTGAGACAAGGTCATCTGCTCACTGACCTCCAAGACAGTGAGCAGGGGCTACGGGGTGATTCTCCCCCTCCAGACGAAGCAGACCCAAACGTGGTATTAGAACGATCAGGGACTACCACGGGGGAACTGGCTGGATTTATCTACCTCCGATACCATAAATCGACTCACCACTGTCCTTGTCTTTCCTATGATCACTGAGGAGTAAAGCTCTCTGATAACTTCGTTCTCTCACTTGTTCCACAGAGGTTGATGCAGTCCTGGAAGAGAGAAGCACATTTTGAATTTAAGAGGATGTTCTCCCACAGACCAAATTGAGGACAATGTATATCCAAACACTGGGTCAGAGAAAGCCGAGAGTGTTGACTGCACCTAAGAGCCAAGTAACCGGCTGCACACATGGCACGTGATTCGTGAAGTATTTTGTTACCTATTTTCTCCCACCTCATAACGCAGATTTCCTGCAACCTTGTTACATTACAAGAACCGACAATTCCTCTTAATATGGAAACAAGATCTGTAGGTCTGTGGGGCTTTTTTCTTTTTCTAAAAAGTTGAAAAGTGAAAACCTACGCTTCGAAAAACAAAAGGTTGCAGGTACTGCTTCATAATCTCCATTTACAGAAAACTGTCATCTTCCCAAGCCAGAAACAGTTTTCTGGAGTTTCTTGTTTGTTTGGTTTGTTTTTTGGTTTGTTGGTTGGGATTTTTGTTTGCTTTTGTCTTTCAAGAATCCGCACTTTATTTTATTTATTTATCTATTTATTTTTTTAAAGAATTTGCTCTGAGATAGCAGATCCACAGTTGTAAATACTGCCCAACTACAAGTAATCTCTGTTTAAGCCCCTACATTTCACTTGCCGGACAGTGGGTATGAAATGACCGTCCTATCTTCTTTCTCAGCCAACTACCTCCGACAATCGCAACCTGACCAAGAAAAAAACCACAGCACTGCTACAAAACCCGTGTTTTCTTTCAGGCAAGAACATTCGGCATTACCCTACAGCACTGCTGCACTAAAATGCACTGCGGTGCTGCCTGTGGGACTGCTGCAGAAGCTCCCTAATAAATTCTTCCCCAGTTGAGCCTGTTTCCACATCCTTTGCTGACTAGCACACTGGTTTCTGCGTTGTGAACTCACAGCCCCTCTTCGGCGAAACGCTGAACACTGCACTTACGGTTCTCCCTTCAACGGGCTCTATGAACTCCGTCTATTCTGCAACAGCTGGAGCAGCTGCGCAGAGGGATGTTCAGCTCCTCAGCCCACATTCACCCCCACACACTGTTAGGCCTTCGCTACAGCGCAAGGAGCGCCTGCAGGGCTTATTTTGTGCTAGGAACGTTTTGGAGACGGCATCACCGCAGCTGACCATCTACCTTCAGGGTACCAAAGACGCCGTGGAAAATGCAGCGTTTACGCAGGCTGAAGTAACTCTCTCTCATCCCCCTTCGCACTGTGCCTCCCCCCAGGACTGCTGGGTGTCGCAGTACCTGGCACGGCGTCCAACACAGCGTACGGTCTGCGCGCAGGGGAGCCATTTCGTGATGACGAGCGACGACGCGAGCCTCCCCACGTGCTCTCCACCCGAGCAGAAGGGCCCATCAGGCAGACTCATGCAGCCCTGCACGTCGCACTTAAGCGACAGCAACCACTGCAAACATTCCAGCCACATCACTGAAAAGCAGACTTCCTGAACTCCTCTAAAGCTTTTGCTGACCAATACAGATCATCCTCCTGTTCCACCCTTCCTCCCTTTTGAAAGGATTTGAGATTTGAGATGAAAAACATTCCCTTCAGCCCACAGACGCAGCAGAGGCGATACAAGGACAGGAGTGCAGAGCCAGGGCCGCGCTGAGACTCGGACTCAGGTCTCTCACGGCCATTACATCCATCCCAGTGCTGCTCTCTCCTCCACACACCGCAGCAAGCACACACAGCCCAACCTGTGCAGCGGTGGAAGGAGCACGCCTGCTCACCAATGCCATGTTCTACAGATTTACAACTGCACTTTACCTACGCAGTCTCATAATCTGCAGCACTAGGCAACTCATCTTGCTCCAACCAGTACCTGTTTTGCTCTTAAAAAACAAAAAAGCAAAGCAGAATGAAAACATTTAACCAGTACCTTATGGGTAATGTTTCTTCTTTATGAGGCATCTGATGTATTTGTGAGGAAAGAGATTAAGACAACTCCTTACTAATCTGAAAAAGGGCTTCCCGTTGGTAACCTGCAACTGCACCCTTACCAATGAAAACTCGATTTCAAACAGGAAAGACTCAGAATTAAGTAAATAATTCTTCAGCACTTTAATCCCAGTTTTATGGCTTACCACTGAACTTCTGGTTCACTCTTCTCACTGGAAGATTCCTTAGTCGCACAGTTGTTGCCAATGTCTTCTGGAGCTGCATTATAAACAGCAGTTGGCAGTGGTAAAGGTAAGCTCGCAGTGTTATCAGGTTGCTCCCCGTTCTCACCACTGTTGTTATACCCATCATTAGCACCATTGTTACTACTTATATTTCCTCCACCAGCAGCATGAGGAGACACAGTAACCAGGGGGAAGTTTTCTGTCTTTGAGCCACTCTTCCTAGCTTCTCGTTGTCTCTTACGGTATTCTAGTAAGGATACCTAGGAAGGAAAAAAACCCAACAAAACCAAAACAAACATCAGAAGGGAAGTTTACTTATTTCCTTTCTCTCAGTTTTGATTAAACATGTTCTTTCAGTAAAACAAACCATTTACTGGGTTCTAAAAGAAAATACGGATAGATGAAGGTATTTCACCACAGATGTGGTGAATTCACAGAGCTACTAAAGACTAACAACAATGTAAAAAGAAAAAGCTTCTGCCAAGAGAAGGAAGTATGCATTCTGCCAGGGGGAAGCAGCAGGAGGTGATGCGGGTCAGCAAAAGGCTCACTGCAAATTCATACCACTGGCTGAAGCTACAAGGGACTTTGCAGCTTCTCCTGGACCTGCAGCACTAGTAAGAGGACACTAACACAGGGAAGCTAATTTAAGAGATGTTACACCCTGCTCAGTCTGACTCCCCCATGTGAAAAACCCACCACGCTTCTGCTTCACTCTACTGCACATATCAAAAGATTCTCTAAGCTCTTCATAGATTTTTCTTAACAAATATAATTTGCAACTTAAACTTTTGTTCTTTTTCCAGTTTATTTTGAATTTCTGTCTTTACTGCACTGTAAAAGACTGATTAAGAACGTATTGTAAAGTTTATTACCAAAACCAATGACACAAAGGAAAAAGTGTTTCTACTTTCTATGTACGTATATAAAGTCACCACACAGATGCTGCCATAGAACAGCAAACAGTCTGAATGTTCAGCAAGTTACCTCCACTGAAAAATAAATTGTCAAGTGTTTTCACTATGTATCTTCAAGATTTGAATCAGAAAGCTAAAATACTGACCTTCAGACCTACTTTATTCAGTAATAACACCAGTTTGGTGAAAATGACATTTAACATCTTTAAATCTTTCCTTCTAGTTATCAACAACCTACTCTGAACCATACAGCATCCAAACCAAGAAACTAAAGTGCAGTAATGGAAAAAAACCAAAAATCACATTGAACTAGCTTAGTCCTCAATGCAGCAGACATCCAATTCTACACAGAGAGCAAAACAAGGTAGCCTGCTTAGTTTGCAGTTCTAGGAGTTTTGTTTGCTTTCAAACAGATCTATCTGTTAAAGACGCATCTCCATGTCAGGGTAAGAACAGTTAAAAATATTTAATTTTTCATAAAAGAAAGTTTAGATTAAGAACTGATCTTGCTTTTGAACAATCTATTATTTATACATCACATGACTGGGATCCCTTGAAGAATACTGCTTTAAAGAAAGCTTAAATGGTAAGAATGGATGAAATCTCTGCAGCGTGGCCTGTACCGAAATGGGATGGACTTGTACAACGGTGAGAGAAGATCCAGGAGCAAGTGCCCACAGAAACGCTGAAATACGGGAAAAACCTCCTTCAAGAACTGTCTAAGGTCATTCGTGTCTTACGTGATCCCAGGGAAAGGCTTCTATAAATTCTCCTGTAAAAAGCCTGAATTTTCACCTTCTCCTTAGGTGACGTTCACCCCTGATTTTCACACTTTTTCACAAGTTACACGTTTTCTGTGTGGCCTTGGAAAGTCTAAACCTCATTCCTTCAGGGGTACAGATAGAATTTTCTCTGGTTGTTTCTTCAAACTGAGGGAAGCGTCAGGGGGAAGCCACACATTTTTCACATGGACATTACTGTAGCATAAGCCCTCAGCAGAAACAACCTGGAAGAGTCCTTGTAGCAAGAGAGAGGTGGGAGGGCTACTGGGATGTGAAATAAATTAATACATTAATAAAAGCTGGGATTTGAAAATAAATTAATTTAACCTTCAGACAAAGAAGAATACAAAGCTACAGAAATTTTGGTTCTTTGATGCTTCTAGCAGGGCCACAGTAACACGTGGGGGATCTACAAAACTGTCGGGGCAGAATCAGTACGAACAGAGCTCCTACCGTCTGGCTTCAGTTACCTCTCTGTTTGAAGCAAAGTAAAGAAAAAATCCAGTTCTGATGGAGAACTTCTGAAGGCAGATTGTAACTGCTCCCTAGCAGGATGCCCCAGGGCACAGGGAGGAGGCACACACAGGGGGGGTGGGTGGTGCAATGGGACCAGAAGCACCAAGCCCCTGTTGTGCAGGCACGTGCGCACACAGAATACACCCCCACCCCCCAATGATACTTCCGTAACAAAAATAAACGGCATCTTTCACACCAGACAGGTTACTGCAGTCTGCCACGAGACAGAAGTGGCAGGCTGCTGCCTTCCAAGCCTGCCATCCTTTCTGCGAGGAGGAAGGGGCTCTAACTCGGCAGTGACGTGCAGTCACAGGCAGTTACGCAGATTAAGTCCCAGCTCTGGTTCGAGCTGGCCCTGACCACACAACTTACCACTCTGGCCAAAGGGTTCTTGTAGGTAAGTTTAGATTGTGCTTATTCTCCAAGCACAGTATTTTATTAAAAAAAAGAAAGCAAGCTAAAGAAAAAGGAACTAAGGATTTCTGTGTAGTTCTAACAGTGAAACCAACATACCCTAAGCATATAAAAATTGGAATTTTGAAGCCTCAGTATCATCAATCTGTGAGGGCTATTTTTGCAGTAATTCATAACAAATGTTCATGGTATATGATCCCTATGATGCAGTATATATTCTGTATAACAGAGTATTGTAATACCTGGTGGCATAAGCAACCATTTTCAAGCCCGAAAAGCAATTATTTATTGAGCAAATCATTTCGGACTCACATGGAGTAAAAGTAAACTTGTATCTACCTTGGAAAAAATAAATTTACTAAAGGGTATACGTAGCTTTACTCTTTGTTCTTCATTATTTCCCCTGAATGTCTACTACACTGTAGTATCTAAAGATGAGCCATCAGTTGTTTTTTATCATATTATGTTTTTTCCTGCTATAGAAATACCATTAGCAGATTATGTAAGACAGACCAAATGATTCTTAAAATGATAACCTTTTTCTTTTGTGGAGGATTCTGGGGTGTGCAATTTCCATCCATCAAGTTGTCGTTATTGACAGTCCTTCCAAAGCCAGATGCAATTCCATCTTCTGAAGTACAAAAAACAGATGCTTCCATGAACATGCCTCTAGCATCGTCTTGAATCAGGCACTTTGACTCGCTTATTCTGAATCCACCTCCTACCTCCAACTGATGTGAAGGGGTCAAGTCCCTCAAATTAGAATTCATTGAGAAATTTACACCTGTCCTGTCGGGACTTTTTACCCAGGAAGAATAAATTGTGCCCCGTCCACAATGAGCAGTTTCTAATTGGCTGTTTGAATCAGTCCTATCATGTGGGGGGGCTTCCAGGTTTTTATGCAGCGCACTTTGCTCAATCACTTCGAGTCCCAGCTGGAGGTCTGACACAGATTCCATTTCTCCAGTGCACTGCCGTGTGACGTCAGTCCTGTTCCTTGGACTGGAATATCCAATAGTCTTTATTTCTTGCAGGCCCATTTCTGTCAGGTTGGAACTTCTGAGAGAATTCAGTGCCAGAATCGATGCTCTGTCATATCCCTGTGTGAAGAAAAAACATGTAAATATTTTTCCACACTCCAACAGAACTGCAACTATTCTGACATCCAGCTGTGCCTTTAAGTGGGATTAAAGGCTCTCCAATACCATGAATTTATCTATTTGTAAGAAACAGTTCTACAGCCAGACGTTTCTACTATTGCCACGTTATCAGGTAGAAGCATTTTAATAAAATGCACATTAACCAAAGTCAAAATAAACTTTACATGCCAGGTTTTATCTATGACTGGCAGAGGAAGGGGAAAGGCTTCAACGGGAGCAAGTCCCTGCCCAGGAAGTTACAAAGCACTTGCTCCAATCTGACATAAAAGGGATCCTCAGTGTCGAAACATTTATTTCAAGATGACCAAAAAAAAAGCCCAAGAAAAGCCCAAATAAAACCCTCCACATAAGGAAAAACTTTTCTTAAGTTATAAACACTTCTTTTGTACTTCTTAAAGATGTATTAACCATGAAAAATGCAGCACATAACCATGGCTGGAAACAGCTTTTCTAAACCAACATGTCTTAAGATTTTCATTAATCCTTTTTCAATTATTTGTATTACAAAGCAAAAGTTCCTAAGGAAAACTCCTCTTTTCAAGTCAGATAACCATTAAAATATTCAACTGCTAATAGTTTAGAAGCTAAATTCAGCAATGACTGGATGAAAAATTTTGTTAAGATTTTGACCTAAAAAAATACATATATATGTCCTCAACTCCCAAGGGAATACTTGGACCTGGGTCTGTTCAGCCTGAAGACAAGACTGAGAGGGGACCTTACCAATGCTTATAAATACCTAAAGAGGGGGTGTCAAGAGAATGGGGCCAGGCTCTTTTCAGTGGTGCCCAGTGACAGGACAAGGGGCAACGGGCACAAACTGGAGCACAGGAAGTTCCACCTGAACATGAGGGAAAACTTTTTCACTGTGAGGGTGACAGAGCACTGGCACAGGCCGCCCAGGGAGGCTGTGGAGTCTCTTGCTCTGGAGAATCTCAAACCCCGCCTGGACGCGATCCTGTGGGACCGGCCCCAGGGGAACCTGCCTTACCAGCGGGGCTGGACTGGACGATCTCCAGAGGCCCCTTCCAGCCCCTGCCAGGCTGTGACCGCTCACGC